TTCGTAGAGAATTTTCTAAGGCCACACTCGGACACGCCATTCATAAATCAGACCTATAACAAATAATCTCCTATGATAAAAACAAACATAATTTTGGTGACAAAACACAGAGATTAAAGACTCCTTTGGACGAAGGAAGATTACCCTCGAAAGACACTCCATCATGTAGTTTGTTCAATAAATACTATTCTTCTGCCTGATGGGCTAGGCCCATACACCACAACACCTACAAAGAGCCCATCAAATGGTACAAGCTTCAGCTGCAATCCACATCCAAATTAGGCAAATCTCATACCTTTGAAGTAAGAGACAGAAAAATTAAATATACTTCCAAGAAGCTGTGCTCAGTGTGGCTGACCTTAAGAGCAGAATCGGAAGGTCACCTAACAGCTGTAGAGCAAGATGGGCACATGTCCAGAAAACAGGTGTTCAAAATCTGAAATTCCATTCATTACACTAGAATGACTGTTACCGCGACAACCTGTCCAAGGAGACCAAAATAACAGAGCTACACGACAAAGATCCCTTTACTGACTTAACAGTTTTATATCAAATTTGGTAGGCTCATAGCATCATGTCAATTTGACTGCCCCACTTAATAACCAGCTCCACGGAACAGAGTCCTTGAGAAGCTGATAATCGCTCAGTCAAAAAATTCCCAACCTTCAACGAGACACAAAGGCTCGATGCTGTGCTCACATCTCACCACCAGTACCAATCTCAAGTCACATAAGTGAGATTTCAGGTTCTCATGGCTACAAGTATGAATACAGATGCCTTCTGGGATGTTGCATTTCAAAGGTGATTACTGCACATCAACGTCCTGAAGATGGAGGCCGCAAGCACCTCTGAAATGGCAGTAATCTCCTACTACATAAAAGAGCACATCCCAGAACACAGTAATCTTCACGTGCGTCACTGCGAGGAACTGAAATCTCACTTATTCTAATAAAATTATATATAAAGCCGTAGACACTCAACCATAAACCATAGAAACTGATAATAAACCTAACATGTATGTCTCATGGTTCCTGCATTCGCTGTTGGTCCCTTATGCTGAAACTATTATCGTCAACTCATAAATTTTCCTTTGATTCATTTTGAAAAGCTGCACATTTATTTTTATGCGGGGCTTCTGTAAACTTTTATACAGTCACAACTTCAAAATTAAAAGTTGTGGAATTCAAGCACGGCTATGCCAAAGCAAACATTTTGGGGCAACCACCACAAAGCTGGCAAACAGCATCAACTCCAAGACGTCGTTTGAAAATTTAAAGAGAGAGACGCATTAATGACACGCTGTTACAGTATACACGAGTTCAAGCTCGATAGATGTAAACGTAGTAGAATCGCTTATTGGTCCGATGCCATTCTTCTCTCATGTGACCTGTACTCTTTATGATAAACGTGCCCAAACTGGGCCTTCTGACACGCCAAATTGCAAATATTATGTCCACTTTCCAATACTTAGAGTAATTACAAGGGATAAGTCCAAGTATGAGGTCCTGCAGAACACTTAAATGCGCCACTTCCATTTTTCACACACCCACCCCAACCCACTCACAGTCAGCCTTCATAACCTCAATGTTCAACACCCTCAATAGACACAATCTTGAACCTGTTTCATGGAATATTATATCAAATATCTTTGCGCATCCAAGTCGCTGTTTCCAAAAAAACATCCCCACCAAAATCATGAGCTGACGTAGCTCAGTTACAGACTGGACGACCAGAGTTCAATCCCCCAAAGGGGGCACAGGATTTTTCCTCTAGCCTCCGAGACCCACCCAGCCTCCTATCCGATGGGTACCGGGGTCCTTTCCCGGGGGTAAAGTATGGCCAGACCAGGGTGTGATGCTGACCACTAACCCCCAGTTAGAACCAAGGTCAAAAAGGGGTAGGAGATATAGTACCTCTCCCCCCAAGTGTCTACATGGCGTATAGTGGGATAGCTTTACTTTTTTCCTTTTACACCCACCAAAATCTTGCACACTTTCATGTCTCCAGCATCTCAGCTCTAGCAACAGCACATCACAACATCCTAATAATACCAGAAAAATTTCTCATCGAGAACAACGGGGAAAATCTAAAGTGGTAAACAAATGTAGGCATACCGTGTCCAAAATCCTGTAATAATCACCGAAGACGCAACCAACACTTCATGTAATATCCTAAATCAACCAATTATTTTACCAGTTTTGGATACAAATATTTTCCAAAACACTTCTTTTTCGTGTTCATGTAACAAAAGGGGGTACACTAAAAAAAAACTTAGAAAACTGAATTGGATGACAACAATTTTTGAACTAAATAAAACACATATTTCAATGAGTTATTCCTCCCTTATTTCCATCATGAATCAATTTGTCGGGTTCCCAGACATTTCAATTTTGAAGCATTTTCAGAGGACGTACAACACGTAATTATTTTTTTTAACTTTATACCTGATTATGGCTTCGTGTTCTGTTCACACACAGTTTTATCAGCATTTACTTCCAGCCAAAACTCTCTACTGCCCTATCAGAGAATTTAGGACACAGCTCGACAAAATAATTTTGTTTTCGGGGATCGGCAAATATGTCAAATGTCTTTTCTTTAACAAACTTTCTGAGTAAGTGAAACTTCTGGCAGATCTGCTAGTCAGACAGAAGACATAACGACGGTAAAACAAATAATATTTATAGAGTACATACACAAATGTAAAACTACTTCTTACTTGTTTTTTAACATGTTTATTCTACTCTTCCAATATTGACACCGGAATGTCTTAAATACTCGCACATATTTTGAAGTTAAGACTGCGCACGAAAAAGGAGGACACTAAACAAATATTTAAATAGATCATGTAAGAGAAAACGACAAATGTTTCATTTCTTAATTATGGCCATTTGAAGGCGAAAGAGAATTTATTAAAGCTTTAGAATTAAATGTGCAAGGAAGAAAGGAGACGCACAACTGGCAAATTTTACGCATCTGTTCCTGAATACAGTTTGGATGTCTCACTGATAAGTGACCTGACACTTTTCAAACGACACACACACACGAAAAGCACGAACGAAAAAATGAAGTGTCTCATGAAAGAAATGTGCAAATTTGTAACCAAACTCAAAACAAAAGGAATTTATTAACAGGTAAGCGAAAAAACTCGAAACTCCTCACAAAACAAACTCATCACTAATTTACTTTGGCTTTCGGGGTTTAGATGTGTTGCGTGCTGAAGGTGTTCCAACATTTCAGCAAAAAAACTGAAGTTGCTGTAAGACAAAGGGAAGAGGCAGCCATTATACAGATCACAAGATGCTACCAAATACATAAATCTCCCAGATTTCTATGTACCCAGATCCTCAGCAGCATTTACACAGGTGGTAGGTTAAGTTAACAATACTTAAAATCATGTACGCAGACAAAAGTGGTATCTTGTTCGGCTCATTTTGTGACTGGTAAAACTCAGATATTAGGTTGGGAGAGAGCCGTACAGAATCATGGCTACACATTATATCCTACTGCAGAGCCAATAATTTATCTACTAGCGCAATTCAATCATTCAATCCTATTTATTTCAATAAGATTTTCTGATCAGATACTATAAGAACTCGATAAACACCAATAAAATCACGAAAGATTAATTAAAAAGACATGCAGCAAAATTGACATAGCCAGCTGTCATTTGCACTAACGTTACTTGAAAAGGCATAGTTTAAGTGAATAGTTAACGACATCATATCAGAAGATTCTCGAACAGAAAATACATAACTTTACTTGAAAAGGCATAGTTAAAGTGAATAGTTATGACATCCTATCAGAAGATTCTCGAACAGAAAATACTACAGCCCAAAATTGGACACAATCCTGAACTATTTACATCCACCTCCCAAACTTAAGATACATCTTATTATCACACTGTTAAGTGCAAAATTAAAATATATACACAAAAATTATCTTCCTATCAAAAAGAAATGGGAGACCTCTTGACTTCAATAAAAGTTTGTTAGAAGTATCAGCACAATTTTTTTTTAAACACAAAATTTGTTTTCTAATAACTCATTTAAAAATTCAAATATAATTTTAAAACAACTTTCTGATTCGTATGACACATAAGAATTCATTCAAAAGCACTTGACTTGTTTGGCTCATTTAAAATAAAGCAAATACCAACACAAACTTCACATAGAACAAAGCATTCAACTTTTTTTTCTGCACTCAGTGCTTTTGCAGCTTCCAGAAACAAACAGAAATCTTCCAGTACTGTCTTTTATGAGGAAATGAATATTGAAATATCTTTGTATTATTATCCGTTTACTTCATAACAAATTCCACACTGCTTGACCAAACAATGGTGTGCCTATAACATCCCTTCATCAAAAACATCGAAAAGAAATATAAAGTGCTGTATTATAGTAACACTACTTTAAACTCCGGAACAAAGTCCACTATCAAGGGTCAGTTGTGCAATCCCATATCTTGTCACTGATAGATTTAGGTAACTGTCAGTAGGGCAACCGATTTCCTACTCACATAAAAAACATTAACGTTCACGTTATCTTACACAGACGTCTCATTATTCATTTTTCGACTAATTAAACCTACAGTACAATTCTGCTTTGTTTACATCCACACCTATCATGTTGTCATTTCACGAAGGAGCATGGACGGGGTTACTAAACACAGACTAATCCTAATGCCATGACTCTAAAGATGACCTTTCACAATCAAAACAACGTCCATTTCATGTGTACAGAACTTCGCAAATGTATCATTACGTTCTATAATGATTATCTAAATATCTGAGCAAACACACACACTAACATAATGACTTAATCTGCAAAGGACTACTTTTGACACGGGGAAAAAGCTGTTACACAATTTCACGAGAAGCCAAATGGGAGGAAAGTCACACACGCGAAATCAACCCACTGGAAATCATAAACAGGGAACATATTACAAGTACAACTGACACTCGTAAATGAGATTATATATTGAAGATTCACTTATTCACTTACCAGGCTGTTTATTTGCTATCTTATTGAAACAATTTTGAAACACTTCGTAAAGATGCAAGGGTTCATCATCGCTGGTCGCCATCTTAATTCTCACAGCAAAGCTAACTGTCTCAAAAAAAGATTCAATGCCAACATTCTTCCACAGCATATTCACAGGTGGCAGCACCACTCAAAGTCAACTTCGAAATTAGTTAAGGAGTACTACCACTACAAGCGCTTTCATCACACACTGTTGATTTTAATGAGACTAATTAAAATTGAACGTTTCCTGGTCTCCAAATCTCTCAAACTTAACATTTCTTCCAGTAATTTTAGTTTTCGCTACAATAAAATAATACATTGCAACATTATTTGTAAATTATTAAAGCACAGGATCCAAACATTGAAATTAGTGCAAAGAACATGTGTCAAAAATATGTTCCAACAGCAAAACAAATTCGCATGTCCATAAAATTCAGAGAAGCGACACTACATTGCCTAACTAATCAACTCCATAGAATGGACTACGTCTTGAGAAGCTGGCAGTCGGTCAGAAATTCTTCGTCTTTTCTAGAGCAGAAAGATTTACAACAATGAGCTGAAGCCAGTCCACACCACCATAGCGTGTTTTATGTTTCAAATCCATTCTGGTATCAACCATTCATTAGCATATAGATCATATAAACCATCACAGAAATAAAAATGTCATGTCTTCCCAGCTAATTAAGCACCTACACTGTATATGGTCATTGGGGTCTAGCTACTGGTGAAATTATAGTCCATCACATGTTTCTGAGAACAATTTAGCAAAAACTTTCAGCACGAATTACAAAATAAATAATAAATATGGAAGAAAGCCACTGTAAACTAATTTGAAGTAGAAAGTCTGTGAAAACGACGAAAACCCTTGGTAGGAATACTCGCTCTCGGGGCCAAGATTTGAACACGGACTTCTATAATACGAAGCAGGAATTCTATAGTAGCTTTGATGCGCTGCGAGTTCTGAGCTGTGTTCAGTCGCCTGAGCTTCGTTTTTCGTGTAACAACGTTGCACACTTTGACGCGACCTTGAAGACGGCGAGGAAGTCATTGGAGCGACTCCATTTTTTTGAAAGCTGTTTGTACATAGGTCTTATGACGACACAATACGAACAAAGATTAATAATTTATCGTACACAGTTGATTGTTTATGCAATAACAAAACACTATAATATGTACTACCCAGGAAACTAGAGAATTATTAAATCGTTTTTGTCTACAAAATACCGCATCTTAACATGAACGAAAACATCAATATTCGGTCTTCATACGAATGGATCATGCAGATAAAACTGCCATGATTTTGGAATCATTGATTTTCCATTAATGACACGTTATCTCTTCAAAAATTAATGATGTTTTGCAAACTGTTAAAGAAATCACGACAGGACATTAAGTGCATTATTCATATGTTTTGGAGCTACAGTAACCCACTCTGTGGGACAAGGTCGACTCCAGGCACGGCCTGCTGGACGCGACATGCTCAGTTAGACAGAATGTGCTCTACCTACCCCATCTGTTCCTTTGTTGCGAACGATTCCAACAATGGGTCGGGTGCTACCAACACAAGCAACTATAATGTCCCCGGCATCTTCAATTTGGATGTGGGAGACACCAATTGGGTTATAACATCATCGTTCATCATCTTCACAATGCAGACAGGTGAAATATATTTATGTGGTATAGTGCATTAACAACTGAAATTCTTACCCTTCTGTAACTCTCTGTCCTTATACCATATTAATTGTGATACCAATTTTAATATTATCCTGCCACGCAGACTACACTGAGGTATCCTCCTCCCTCGTAATTCTCCGACTCAAATGTTGTATGTGTTTTTAATCTTTCCCGTGTTCTGTTCATCCGAACACCTTCGTCCAATCGTCTTTAAGAGCACAAATTATGAAAGTCATCGTTTACTAATTTTATCCATCATTCCGCCACTCTCTTTTTGTGTCCAAATACTCTCCTCGGCACTTTAATCCCAAACACGCTCAATCTACATCCCTATTCTTAACTTAAGATGAAAACTCAAGGTTTGACGACGCAAAATAAAAGGTAATATTATATTAATAGTTCAATATATTTTAATATTTAGAAATTTAAGCTGCTCTTGGTTAAATTATTTTCAATATGTTTATCAAGCTTAATTTGTGTAACGTATCACTGAAATAAACAAAACAAAACACTGACTGACAAAATTAAAAAAAAAAAAGGAAAAAAAGCAGCTAGAAGCCACAACAGCGTCCATCTTGAAACTTTCAAACACGATAATGAAGAGAGAACTTTTAACCTCGAAGTCGTATGGAGCATAATGACAGCGATAATCCATTTCTCACGACGTGTTTTACATTCCACTGGGCGCCGTTGGTTAAAATTAAGAAGGTCGATTTGTTCAAAACACCTAGAAATATATAAGTAGCGGACATTTGTACAGCCACGATGGTCTAGTGGTCAGAACGCTGGCCTTGTAATCCTGGTGTCTCGGGTTCGATTCCCGGCGGTGCCCGAATTTATAACTTGTGTTGGGCAAGGCCATGGTCTAGGCAACACGGAGTTTTCCTCCGTGGCATCCCAACAATTACTCCATTCACACACAGAAGAAGGCAATGGCAAACCACTTCTGGATCATCTGCCAAGAACGTATATGAACAGGTCCCAGTCCGAAAAAAGGATGGAAGGATCCTGTTCATATGGACCTGTCGTCAGACAGAACACTAAAAAAAAAAAATCTCGTAGTTATTCAACAAAATTCCCGCCTGTTATGCAACTATAATATCCATTATCGTATTCACTAGTGTCACCATCGGAGCATACAATAAGCCAGTTGGGGACATAACAGTTATAGACGTGTTCAGGTTTCGGGATGCTGGAGTCCGGATGCGTGTCCATCAAGAACGAGGTGAACATCATGATGAAGAACGTTGCCGACGTGGTTCTGGGCGGCCTCACGTACTGGATGTTCGGTTTCGCCCTCAGCTTCGGTAGCGGCCCCTGTACGACGCCGTTCATGGGGTGTGGAAACTTCTTCGTGGACCCCACAGTTAACGATCCACTCATGGGCCCCATCAACGCCGCCTTCCTGTTCCAGCTCTCGTTTGCCACCACAGCCACTACCATCGTCTCGGGGGCGATGGCTGAAAGGTCAGTTTTCATAATCAAACCCTAGTTTCAAGAGAACATCTCATCAGACGGGCGATGTCCAAAATAAAATTCGTCATCTTTTACAGAGATCGAAGCTTCGTCACCGTGTACATAAAATCCCGACATCTGTCGCTATACCGAGCCAGATAAATCCAATCCAAACATTCTATTCTTATTTTCCTGGGGTGCATTTTAATAGATTCACAAATGACACCATTCGACACTGTAAGAAACCATGAAACAAGTCTTCGGATAAAATTAAAATGGCACGGTCGGTAATGAGGATCAGGAAAGGAGCGCACAGTGGCAGGACTTGGTATTAAATGTGATGGCGACTGAAAATGTTGGTTGGGTTGCCTACAGATGCAATTTCAAGGCGTACTGTCTCTTCTCATTCCTCAACACTGTGGTGTACTGCGTGCCTGCAGGCTGGGCGTGGGGGGAACACGGCTTCCTGAACAGGTTGGGTTACGTCGACATCGCAGGATCGGGACCAGTCCACCTTATTGGTGGAAGTTCTGGTAAGTTCAGTGACGCAACTTGTAAAATGTTTTGAGCAGGAAGCTTAAAGTGTCAAGAGATGGCAGTACCGGCTACTCTTTGCTGATAATGTCGGACATCAAAGATGTACAAAGAAGGACTAATTTGAGAGCGACATATCACATCGCTGTTCGGAAATTGTCAAAGAAACTGACATGTAACGAAGAACTTGTAAGTTATCCGGAGATAGGGATTAGCTCTATCTAGTGGGCCCAATTGTGTAGGAACCTGAAGACGGAGATAGAGTCCCATCTCCGAAACGTCGTTTTACGTTTCATATTTACTAGACGATGGATAATATCCAAGAAAATTTTTATTCAATTGACTCTTCACCATCGTCAAGAAGTTTTAGATTTGATATACCAATCAAATTGCTGCTAATAGGATCGCATGAGAAGATGAAGGGGGTCGAATCTGTATCGTCGAACGTTTTCTGTTAAATCCTCCCCACTTGATGAGGGCGGAAACAAGCATTTCGGAATGAAACTCTTTTGCGTGGCGCAAACAGTCGTATGTCCAACCTCGGCTGTAATCACAAGCTGACGTAATTGCGTTACGACATTTTTTCCTCGCTCTACATGGTTCAGGAAATTAATATACGCAAATAAAATAACCCTACTACACTACAAATAGTAAGTTGGCAACACTGAATACACGTGTGCCATTTGAGGTTCTCACGGCGATGAATATGTCGATGTTGGTGTTCTGGGTTGTAACGCCATGTAGATGGTAGGTAGATATCAACGTTTCGTAAGAAATTACTATCTCCATCTTCAGGGCGTCACAATCCATCTAAATATAATTCTTGCTCTGTATTTGCAGCACTGGCGTCGGCGATGATGCTGGGTCCACGTTTAGGGAGGTACGACATGGGAAATGAGCCACTGCCTCTCGGATCTCCTGTGAACGCCGTCATGGGTCTGTTTGTCCTCTGGTGGGGATGGCTCGCCTTTAACTCAGGAAGGTGTGGTCTCAACCCGAGAAACATTCTTTCAACGAACCGTGTCTGCCCTAATACAAAACCCTTCCTTACTATTCCCTTCGAGTCATGTTCGTGTACGGTCAAACAGGCGCGCAAAAGAATACGATTTCAAAAAAATGACGTACATTTTGGAATTTTTCCATCTTCTCGTTTCGGAAGCTAGGATCCGCTTCTGAAATCTTCTTTTATCCAAAGACGAGACTATGCAAGTACTCAAAAATACGTGTCTGGTTAATAACACACCATGTATTCTCCCAGCCATAAAATCATCACGTTCATTGCATGTATTTCCATAGATATTTTCGTAAACTCATTACCTGCCTCGTCTCTTGTTACAGTACATACGGAATCAGTGGAGCCAAGTGGCATTATGCAGCCCGCGCAGCTGTTCAGACAATGATGGGATCATTTGGGGGTGGATGCATTGGCCTGGGTTACTCAATGTTCCTGCGGGAAGGACGCCTTGACATTATGGACCTCATTAACAGTATCCTAGGCTCACTTGTCTCAATCACAGGTTAGGAAATGTGGAATGTTTTCAACCTTTGCGGTCCCTTTTAAATACCACTACGGCTCTCTGCAGCTCTATTTAAATACGAACATCTCTTATTACATGCAGATATACGATGTATAAGCATTGGATTTGATATTCTCAGAACTGTGCCTCCTTACGTCCTAATTGTTTTCGAAAGGTCAAGACCAAGTTCAGCACGATAAAAGTGAAACAGAACGTGAAGTCACTATTCATAAAGAAAGCTTGATAAGAAGAATAAGAATGAATTTACATTTATCAGTGGCGTATTATTCTGTGCATGAAAATATGCAGACACTTCGCAAAATCCACTGAAATGTTCGCAAAAGTATTATCAGGAAGACGTGGGTAGCACTAATGAAAAGATAAAAGCTTGAATGACATGCTGATACCGTTTGCCAACCTCAACTTGACACCAGATCATATATAAAATACGTAAAACCAGTGGCGGACTCAGTCCGACATCGGACCGGAACTCGGATATTTAAATTTCGGACTCAGTCCGACATCGGACCGGAACTCGGATATTTAAATTTCGGACTCAGTCCGACATCGGACCGGAACTCGGATATTTAAATTTCGGACTCAGTCCGACATCGGACCGGAACTCGGATATTTAAATTTCGGACTCAGTCCGACATCGGACCGGAACTCGGATATTTAAATTTCGGACTCAGTCCGACATCGGACCGGAACTCGGATATTTAAATTTCGGACTCAGTCCGACATCGGACCGGAACTCGGATATTTAAATTTCGGACTCAGTCCGACATCGGACCGGAACTCGGATATTTAAATTTCGGACTCAGTCCGACATCGGACCGGAACTCGGATATTTAAATTTCGGACTCAGTCAGACAGAGACCGCAAATTATGGTGAATATTTAATTGAAAGATGTAAAAAAAAAAAATAACACCCAACTTTATATGTAGAATACATGAACAAAGAACTCGCTGTTACAGCGGGATGTTTCCTGTACCAATCATGGGAGGCGCTTCTGATCGGTACAGTGGGTGCTATCGTGGCTTGCGTCTCCATGCCCCTCATAGACAAGATGGGAATCGATGACCCTGTCGGAGCATCAGCCGTACACGGTAACAATACATTAATTCCAGTTAAGAGACACCCTAAATTGGGGAACAGCAAAGGGTACATTTGTAGAATACAACCAATATTACCATGCAGTGCCTTGTAACATTCCATGTTCCTTTTAATATATCACTCAAAATCATCCCACCATATTCCATTTTACATCAGATAACCCTTATAAGTGATACAGAATCATAAAATATCAAAGAAACTGTTGACATTAACTTGCTACTATCAAAGCCACGAGAATGAAACAGTTATTTCAGTACAACAGAGATAAATTGTAAAAATCTGCAGTTTTTTAACAAACATTTTGCGCTATGATGATGACGATACAATCAGGTTTCCTGCTTCTTGCCTAATTTCTCCCTTAAGTTAGTCAGGCAAAATACTTTTCTCCCTGACATACAGAAACATGACAAAACTGGTTTGTGCCTAAGCCAAAACTATTAATAGTAAAAAAAAAAACCCTCTGAGGTCCAGTAATATTCCTTCGTAAACAAAAAGGAAAACCAATTTATTCAATAAGGAACAAACTCTGTGAGAAGATGGCTGTCTTCTGGGATGATGTGCCTTGTCTGGTGGTGACTACGCTGATCAAATTCCACCAAAATACACAATTCTATGTCCCAGAAGGCAGACATCTTCGCACTCATCACGAGAACCTGAAATCTCAGAAATGTTTCTGTTTCAATTTTGGGGGCCTTTGCTATATTGACCAACTTTTTCAGGTGCAGCGGCTATTTGGGGTGTTATTGCAGTAGGGCTGTTTGCAGACAATCCAGAACCTCTTGACACCACAAGCGGACGCAGCGGGTTATTTAAAGGTAGAAGTCCATAATGGATTACTAGACCAATCTCTTCAATAACCCTATCGCTCAATGATTTAAATAGTTGGAAGATTAAAGGTAAAATGAATTTCCTATATCTTACAAAGTCTAACCTTTTAAAAACAATTTTGTTGATCGATTATTCACATATCGTAACCGGAGAATTGGCAGCTCTGAATTTAATACATATTTTAGTTTCGTAAGATTCTTAACTAAACTGTGGTAGATACAATATGGAAAATGCTCTGACCGACAGGTGGAGGCTGGTACATGCTCGGTGTGCAGACCTTAGGAGCGTTTTGCCTTTGCACCTGGGGGATATTGAGTACCTGCCTGATTCTCTGGGTGAGTTAGAAAATCTGAATAATGGTTTGGTAAACTCTTGGATTTTAAATTCTTCGGACAGCGAGACACAATAATCCACTGCACGTTTCTAGCTAGTGGGCAAGATCGTGCCAATTCGGATGGACCCATATGATGAGCTCATTGGGGCAGACTTAACAGAGCACCACATCCGACATGGTCAGGTTGGAGTGAGTCGTGCCATATCAGCACTGCGGCCATTTTATCACGCCACTGCTGATATAGAAGATATCAAGAATGTAGGAAGTAATCCAGGTAAGCACAGAAAAATGGATACTGATGCTGTAAGATAAAAAGTAAAACCAGTACGTAAGTGGCAATTACACGTTCCTCCCCTGTACCGAAATAAAATAACTGCTAGGTCAGCCTAAAACAGAAGACGATATAAGAAACACTGAAAATCTTTCTCGAGAACTTGGACTGCTGACAAATGTAAAGTGATGTATAACTAACTAACTAGATGGCTTACCGAGCCCGAAGGTTCATCACCGAATTAACCAAAGCCCTCCACCGGACCCTGTCCTGGGCCAACAAAATCCAGTCTCCTTCAACTCCTATCTCCCATAGATCCCGCCTGACATTATCCTCCCATCTACGTCTAGGTCTCCCCAGAGGTCTCTTCCCCTCAGGCTTCCCAACCAATATCTGGTGCACACCTCTTGTCCCATCCATGCGTGCTACGTGCCCAGCCCATCTCATTCTTCTCGACTTAATCGCCCTGACAATACTGGGGAAGGAGTACAGATTTTTAAGTTTTCTCCATGCCACATCGTCTTCCCTCTTAGGCCCAAATATCCTCCTCAACACCAGATTCTCAAACACCTGCAATCTGTGTTCCTCCCTCAGAGTGAGAGACCATGTTTCGCACCCATACAAAACAACAGGCAAGATTATTGTTTTGTACACTTTAGTTTTCAAGGTTCTTAGAAATCAGACAAAATATTATGAACGGAGAAGTAACAAGCATTTCCGAAATTTAGTCTCTTCCTAACTTCCTCATGAGTATCATTTTGATTTGTTATAATAAACAAAAATGTTTAATGGATAAATTTTAAAGAAAAAGAAAATTCGATCGAAATTATCTGCTTAAATATCTATCTGGCATTTGCTATCTAAGACGGAATATTCTTAGTTCGGACGTTAAAATATGTGGAGAATTTTTTAATGGGCAACTGGGGATGTAGTTTCTTTAATAAAATTGAGAAATTAAAAGTATATTGCACTGTAACAGCATTGCGTACAAATGTTACACTCATTTATGACCTCTGACATGTATCATAAATACAACATTCTTTAATCTACAAGTATTTCAAAAAGAAGCCAATTCAGGTCAACTTTGATTGTCTTCTAAGCAGGTTTTGCTGTAAGTAATCGATCACCGTGTGCAGTTAAAATAACAAGACTCTGTTCAACAGGGCACGAGACATACCTCAACCAGAACTACGGCTCCCATCCGGGAAACAAAGACGTTCCACTATCAAAAACAGCGAGCATTAAAAAATCTAAAAAAGAACAAAAGAAGAATGGGAAGAAAAACAATAAAGTGAACGTTAAGAACAACATAGACGACCCACTCGCAACACTGGAAGCAATGATGAAAACTGAAGAGATTCCTAAATTTGCATGGTTGGACTGATGAGTCCACAGTCCGGTTACGTCAGTGTTGACCGTGGTTTACCGAGTTGTCATGTCTTGTGTCGTCTACATTACCACCCAGAATACCAAAATCAACATCTCCACCGCCACGAAACCTCAAAACTCCGACAGGTTAGTGCTTCCTCGACTGACGCGCCACAACAACTAAGAATTCAAAAAAAAAAAAAAATTCAAGACTTTCAAAAATATTTCTCACAGTACGTTAACAGCAGCGAAATATTGTTCAGGCCTATCACGTCAGCTCACAAGCCCGTGCTATTTCATCTTTATTAAACTATTACCGCTTCTTTTCATTAGTTACATACTGCACTGGAACCATTGGCTCAGTTATTCATTTATTGTCTTTAAAGACGGTATCCAGATTTTTTTCAAATTCGTAAGACGCGTAGCAAGGGCAGTTCTGATCAATTTGTCTTGAAAGTCAATGGAAATTTCACACTTCTGATCTTCATCTTACATTCTATGTGCAAGACATATAGCATACGCGAGAGAAGCAAAAATGCTGTACTCTAGTTGGTAATCATCAAGAAAAACTAGGGGGCTGAAAGGAGAAAATGAGATTACAACTTGAAAAAGAATGGAAAGTTAAATACACCTTTTAAGTGGATCATTCACGTACGAGTCTGGCTCGGCGAGCTCGACTCGCATAGCAGACTCTCGGCTCGTGACACCGCACCCACAAACGAGTTTGGCTCGATGGAACCCGAGCCGAGCCGGACTTGCAAGCCAGACTCGTACGTGAATGGGCCGCTTTAGACTATACTTCATTCCAAAGATCTGATTAATCAGAGCTCTACAGTTATGGTTGCATCTTAGCTCTGTCTTCCACTGCTGTGATCATAGGCCAGTCTTGCACCGATCCCAGGTATTGTGTCTTAGGTCAGTCTTGCACTATTATTATCCCAGGTAACTGTTGTGTTTGGGTCATTCTTGCACTGAAGTTGACTCAGGCCATTTTTGCACAAAAATCAAAACATTGTTCAAAAATGGGCTTCAAAAAAACTGTGACAGACAGACATACACGGATTGGCCAATAAGGTGCCCTCTGCCCACGCTATCCCAGTAAAATTATGATAATGTGCATTTATTTCATCTGGTTAAGGATATGATCCAGTGGTACCAACAATAAACCTCCCAAATCCATTAACAGGATATTTCTTGAACAGAAAACCATCGCAACGCAACAGGCGCTGCATACAACTCAGATTTGACTTTCTCTCGGTATAAACAAAGAAAAACCATCAACTTATGCTGGAAAAATTGTATTGCATCCTCGACTTCACATAAAATAATAATTACAATGTCAACGCAATCTTTTTTTTTTTAAGGTTTCTATTCTGCCATGGCTAAACATTTCATTGTCAGTCAATCATATTCAGACCGGAGTACCATTTTATACAAAATCAAACACGTATAAAAACACAGAGTTGTACAAAATTCCAAATTTAACACCTAAAACACTTACAGACTTTGTGAATACATTCTAATTTAAACTATTCATTCGTTACTTCTGGCTTATGTATATCGCATTATTTATAGCTCTTATCATTCTAAATATGTTATTATTTGTTTGCTGAAAGTCATGTACCCAGACATTCCACATCAAATCAACACAGAAAAGAGATTTCCAGCCCAACTGTAAACCATTTCCATAGTTTCGTGCAAATATATTACACGCTTTTTGCTTTTTAGCAAATAAGTAACAATTATAAAAATAACATCTATACGGAATACACCCAAGTCAGAAAATAATTATTAGCTTCAATTAAAAAAACTTCATTCACAAAATTTATTGAATGTTTTATATACTTCAGACAAAACTTTCATGCAAAATATTAATTTATCTATCATTTTGTTTAACTTCAGAAAGACAAATTGCCAAACTCTGAAGAAATAAAAACTCAAAATATATTAAAGTTGCGACCATGCAACCATTGCTTCACGACAGCTCCGCAGTCATCACTGGTAACTGCTGGCCGCCCACTGGGACACCTCGGTTGGTAAGCCTTGGTACCGCTTCACAGCGTCACTCACTTGTTGCGAAGTGAGAACGAACCTGTGCAGTTGGAACTCCTTCAGAATGTGGATGCTTGGTCCACCAATTGGCACTACGAGCTCAAGGCTCTGGAAAGGACCAATTTAACATTTCATCGCATCAAAGAATTCAAGGGAAATTACACAGCAAATTCACAAAACTGGGAAATTTTTCCATAGATATGACTTGCAATTGGGAAATGTCAGAAAAATTCTTACCTCCAAGTGCTCAAAAGCTTTGAGAACAACCGGCCTCTCTACATTCTGCACGGTTGAATTCTGACTCAAAAACTTACAGTACCGCCTGTAGACCATCTCAAAGTTGAGTGGCTCCCCCTCGTATATCTCAGTCTGATGCTTCATAGCAATTATCTGCGGTGAAAGCAACAACATGTATTAAAGCTGCCCTCTTTAGTAAAACTATATTCAGAAATTTCTAGTCCGGAGGCTCAGAACTTCTACGTAATATCTTTACCAATTCAGTGCATGGAATGATAATAGAATCTAACTTTAAAATTATTACAAGTTCTTTGCGTATAGAATATAAGATTAATGTACAAAGAGGGCACCATGTCTACAGATTCAGGGTTAAACTAAAATTTGTAAAGCAAATTCAGTTTGAGTTCGTTACTACTCTAACATAACTCATATAAAGCTCAAACTGAATTTATTGGTCTCCTCAACAACAGCTAAAAGCAGTGGTCCCCAACGCGGTGCCCGCCAAGGCTTTTTCTGGGTGCCCGCATTGTTACAGAAAGAGGTTATACTGAATAATGAAGGTCGTTCAACCACGAACATTATGAAATCAAAGTGCAGATCTCGACTTGCTGACGCCCATCTTGACGATTGTTTTCGAGCAGCGACATCATCGTACACTCCCAAATTTGAAAAACTGGCCGATGAAATGCAGCGCCAAACATCACACTAACTTCCCACTTGAGTAATAATAATTGCACTTATTAAACTACGTATTTCTGATTGCGCGGTTTCTTGTATCATTAAACGTCGTGTTGTTTTGCGTATTATTCGGTGTCCATATCTTATTTGACCAGAGAAAAGAAAATTTGGCTTTGTTAATTGTTTGGTGCCCGCCACGATCTCATAAACTCTCAAATGTGCCCGTACGTACAAAAAGGTTGGGGACCACTGGCTTAAAGTATAATTTATATTTATTTAATTTTGCTGACAGCAGCTCAGACCATACAATATGTCAAATGATAAAATGCTTAATGAATAATTATATTAAAAGGATACTGAGGGAAGTGGTCATGTCCTAATTTATAACGCTATCCTGGAATAAGTATGTAGGAACTGATGAAAACCATGAGAGACCTCGGTTAGGACAGCCAGACACCAGGCCAATATCTGAACCGCAGAAGTCACTAACGTAAATCGGGAGCGCTGCAAAGTTCAGTGGAGTGTGTGAGGGCGGTTAGGAATGGCGATGTGAGACGAAATAATCGTGGCAGTTCTGATGCACTGCAATCTGCGTCACTTACCAGACATAACTCAAGCACCGACAAACCTTCTACCATGGCAACTTTAGCATCCCTTGACCACAACTTGTGTACTTGTAAGAAATCCTCTGCCGTTAGAGTGGGGTGTGTATCGCTCAGACGCGATATGACAACCAGCTAGAATTGACGGAAATATAAAATACTGTGATGTGACGGAACACAAACACGTTCAGTATCACAAACATTAGGCCTTATTCTAATGTTACTACTAAAACAAGTAAACTCACAAAACAAAGCAAATTTAGCACGTCATTTCACGCATCATTTCGGATGCAGGTAAAACCAAACTTAATGCATACTGATGCTACAAGTTTAAAAATTTTGGGTAACGTTTGATCCTTAAATCGCATTTGGCCCTTGATGTGATATTTGAAGCAAAGGGATAAATATCTGCCAGAGAAATATCCATTCAGCTGAGATCTTTATTACACTTTCAGCTCACCAGGAAGGACCTCAAGGTCCTCTCGCTGTTGTCCAGGTTCAATATCGTCCTCATCACATTCTGAACGGGCTCCTCGGTGCACAAATCTTCTACATGGCAGTTCCAGCAGTACGAAAACACAGCATCATCAACACAAACATCATCTTCAGAAAGGATCAGTAGATTCTTTAGCAACGCCATGCGTACCTCGAAGACGCTCTGTTCCTTCTGGCAAGTGTCAGGGAAAATAAATATCTGACGGTGGGAGAAGCGGGACTTAACCCTTTTCTCCAGCAATTCCATCACGTCCAGTCGGCATGTTAGGCCCACTACACAAATGGGAGCCTGGGATAAAACATAAAAAAAGAAATGTTGGTAGTATGAGAGATTGCCAATTATTTATATCTCAGATACAGTTGGCCACACCGGTCTAAAACGAACCCCACAAAACATAACAGATTTTTAACTGTTCAAAATGGATAAACTCTGAATTCCCAAGAAAAAGTATTTGTTCACCTGGTACATTCCTGAATAATCCCAGAGGACAGGTTGAAAAGAGAAGCATTTTTGACCTTTACTGCATAACAAAATATTCAAACGTAGGATACAAGTCCAGGGGCCATCAACATACAGCACACAACATATTTTTTGTGTGAAATCTGAGGTTTTCAGTGTCAGGAAGATGTCAATGTTGGTCTTCTGGGTTGTAACACAGAAGGTCTGTAGTAAGATACCAAAATGTTGGGAGGAACACACTGCCTTGAATTTCATCCTGCAAGACTAACATCGACAACATACTTCGTCGTAGCCTCAAGTATTTAAGGAAAGTGGGAATTTTAATTTTTTTTCTGGGATTTGTTGTTTCTATCTGCAAGAACAGAAGACCGGAAAAATTGTTTGGCGTGAACATCTCAAAAGAAACAAACACGTCTAAATATCAAAATGTATGACGTTTTATAAAGCAAAGAGATTGGGTTTTAACTGAAATTATGGTATAAGACAGTTTATTTTGGAAACAAACATGTCTCTAGCCTGTGTCGTGGCTAAAGAACATATTTCTTGTTATAATTTTAATATAATCATTCTCACCTGAGCAGACTGCGCCACATTAAACAGATTGTAGAGGAGTGTCTGGTTGTGGTGGTTACAAAACAGATCAAATTCATCCAGAATGAATATTATAGACTTGGACCTGTCCTTGTTGCCAGATTTAAGGCATTGCAGCAAGAATGTCAGGTTTTCTACAAACAAATCAAGAACCAGTATGCAATGACATTTTGAATAAAATATATTTATTACTCCATTAATATTTATAGTGTGCTAATAGCAGGAGTTGAAGGAGAGTGGATTTTGTTGGCCCAGTACAGGGTCCGGTGGAGGGCTTTGGTTAATTTGGTGATGAACTTTCGGGTTCTGCAAGCCCTAGTTAGTTTGTGTGCACATAGCAGCGAGACCATGTTCAACTCTGCCTAGTTAGTTTGTGTGCAAATAGCAGCGAGACCATGTTCAACTCTGCTGTATCATCACATTTACCTATACTGCTATTTCCTTGTTAATGCCTTCTTATTTTACACATTCTTTTAAATATATTACACACTGTACTTTTTCAGGATAGTTACTTTTAATTTTTGTCTCTTGTTAATTATCTGAAATATTCTTCTCTCATGTTGTTCTATGAACTGTAATGCATATTAAAAATTATAGAAATAAAAAGCATAATGAAGCATGAAGAATAATGTAAACATAGTTTATGCAGACATATAAACACAAATTTACAGCAATACATGATTTATACATCAGTCAGGATAATTAACCTATGCACTGGAATTAAAATAAATCTGGGACCTCCTGAACACAAAACAAAAGAGGAAATAACTGTCAACAGGAGTCGTATATTTAAACAAGGCTAGACTGAATAATTTATGAGATGAAATTAGAAAGTACAAAGGCAGACAGCCTCTTGCGCCACAACATTCAAATTAAATTTCATAACAACCTTCAACGCTGCAACTTTGACAGGTAGTACCATGCCCTGCTTCACTCCTACAACCAATAAAAGAGCCTGATTAATAATTCTAGCAAAAGTGGAACATGATTCAGCCATACTGAAAAAAAATAGCTTTCAAATTAGAATGTATTTACTATTCTCATGATAACAGAGCAACACTAACCTGCAAATGATCCAAACACTTTATTGCCTACTGCATTCTCTAGTTGCATTTGTCTGGTGGCATCTTTCAAAGCAAGTCTATCATCAGTGTGCATCAATCCATTCAATTCCACAACAAATGCTTTTTCATGGAATGACTTCTCATTCTTCAGTTCATTTATAACACTGTTCAGGAGCTGTAGAAAGAATAAACACTTATAAAAGCATTTGCTTCTGTAAACCTTTAAGTCTAACATGAAAACTACCAAACTTACAGCTGTTTTTCCACAACCTCTGGGTCCTATTAAAAGTGCTGAGTTACTCTCTCCCATCTCGACAGTTCTTCTTACGAGATCTGACAGATGTGATCTCTCTTTCTCATGACCGCTAAATTCATTTGTCGGAAGCAATAATTTTCTCTTAATGGTTTTCCTACACAAAACAAGTCCGTCCTCTACGCTTAGTGTCCTATCCATTATTTATCACCTACTATACTATTCATGGTGTACATTTGTACACGAAAGTGTGCAGACGAACCGAACATTCGCTACTAATGTATTTAAAGAAAAAAGTTCCACAAATGTCTCAATTTACACAAAAATGATTTGAAACACAAACATCACTTCACTGTAAACCAATATCTATTCCAACGCACACATACACTACAATTACTTCTCGTTATGTTTTCGTTACTTTAGAGTTACGCGGGAATTGGTTCTCCGTGGTTTTTATCGTGGTCGAAAGATGTCGGCAGCATCAGTCAAATCAACATGGAAGAACAAGGGATACCTTCTTCAGAAAATTTAACTTTTAAGAAGAGAAATATAAGGAAACAGGCTTCCAGAAAGCGTAAAGGAAGTGAGGAAGACAATCGTACGTAATATTATCAATATCTGTGTTCGTGACATGTGCAATGACTGTAGCAAAACACTGTTGTACCTAATAAAACATCTGTTCTTTACAAAGTAAATTATTGCAGTCATAAAATCATCCAGTAAATTGGTACATTGTCAATTATCTCGTTTCAGAGAGCAGTGAGGATGAAACTATGGTGGTAAAGAAGGGGAAGAGACTTCTTAAAGATAATCCGTTGGTGCAAAAGGTAACTTTCAACAGCTGAGACCAATGTCATCCTAACCTAGCTAAATACAGAACTATCTGTTTTAGCGGCGGGCTTGAAAGAAAAACAACGACAACCAAAATATTCCTGATATGTGAACTCTAAAGGATCCTTTTTGTTCTTCAGACTTTGCAAAAGTCGATAGAAAGCACAATAAACATGATCAGACAAGACAAGTCAATATAATTAAGGGGTAAATAAGTGTGTATATTCTGTGTGAGGTATCAATGTTAACCATCATTTGCATGTTCAAACTTTATAACTTTATTTTTTTGCAGACAAATACATCAAAGAAAACTACTGCAGCAGAGACTGAGAATGGCAGTAGTGATGAAGATGACGAAGATGATGTGATGGTCTCATATAAATCGAAACGAACTACAGGTAGGGAAGGTCCATCTGACATGGGGGCAACTGCTTCATTGCAGATTGAGACAGAAGTTCAGAAAGATGCACAGGCTATATTTGAGAATGCACTGAGGATAAATAAGGTATGAGCTAACTTTGGAAATTCTATACAACTCTCTGTAAGTTAAGTGATAGAAGCTTCAGAATTTATTGTTGTGTCAGTTTTATTTAAATTTGTACATCTAAGAGGAGCATGTTTTTATGGTAAAAACCCTCATTAGTTACTGCCTGCCCTTATCAGAAAAATTCTGTGGTCCTTTCAGTACACATTAGCCCCCTGTTTTACCCAAGTGTCAGGGGACAGCTTCAACACCCATGTCATAAACTGACCATGTTATAAGTGATAACATTTATCCAGTTTTGTTCCTAAGGGGGAAATGTCCGATTCTGCAACATAATGAGGCGTGGTATAAACACGTATCTACTGTAGAATAAAAACTACATAACATTTCTTATACTAAATATAATTATAGAAATAAGAAGGGGGGAAATAAGATTTAAATGCAGAATAATCTGCTTGAATATGTATTGTTTTCTGTTTATCTAATTTTGTACTGAACTGAATTTCCTGGAATTTAATTTTTCTGTATTACAACGGAAATGTTCCGTGTGTTGATAATTATTAATTTTCATGAAGAGTTCTCCTTCCGTGAATCATCTCAAAGTGAACAAGTTTTAAGTCAATTTAGTTTTGTTTTTGATTGCCATTTATAATTCCGTCTGCTGAACGCACCTGTTAAGTGTACGCAGTATACTTTAGTCTTATTATATAGTGTGTCTGTGTAGGAGCTGAAGGGCAAGGAAGATGATAAAATATATCGAGGATTGAACAACTATGCCCAATACTACGAGAAACGGGACACTGCCCAAGGAAATGCATCCAGTGGAATGGTAATATAATTGTCCAGTATTTTAATTTCTTTTATTATTCTGTTGATTCTAAAGGTTTCAGTATCTTGTAAAATTCAAATTGGTCGCCAACATTTTTGTGCCTACGGGCACATTTGAGAGTTTATAGATAGTGGCGGGCACCAACCAATTAACAAAGCCTAATTTTCTTTTCTCTGGTCAAATAAGATATGGACACCAAATAATACGCAAAACAACACGACGTTTAATGATACAAGAAACCGCGCAATCAAAAATACGTACTTTAATAAGTACAATTATTATTACTCAAGTGGGAAGTTAGTGTGATGTTTGGCGCTGCATGTCATCGGTCAGTTTTTGAAATTTGGGAGTGTACAATGATGTTGCTGCTCGAAAACAATCGTCAAGATGGGCGTCAGTAAGTCGAGATCTGTGCTTTGATTTTATAATGTTCATGGTTGAACGGCCTTCATTATTCAGTATAACCTCTTCCATAACAACGCGGGCCCCCATAAAAAGGCTTGGCGGTCGCCCGCGGGCACCACGTTGGGGACCACTGGTTTAAGGCATCTTAGTATAGGTACTGTACTGTATAAAACTTATGCACATGTTCAACTAAACTGCCTTAATATAGATGATTTTTTTATATGAACAGATCAGCTGTCATGAAGTGAAAAATTCTTTGTTTATTTGAGTGAAATTAAAATCACAGTTGGCTTTGGAATAATTTTTGCCTGTTGTGTCGTTCAGTGTTAGAACATTTGACCAACATGCAAATGAACGTGTTGTATTTACTCTTTATTCAGTGATCAGTGTTCTGTCGTCATTGTCTTTACGTAAAGGTTCGGAAAGGTCCTATTCGGGCTCCGGCCAATCTTCGAGCTACGGTGCGGTGGGACTACCAACCTGACATCTGTAAAGACTACAAGGAAACTGGTTTCTGCGGCTTTGGAGGTGAAAATTAACGCACACTGTTCATACATTATTTTTTTCTTTGAAAAATAAACTCGGTCTCCTTTTTACTTTTATAATTTTTAGCACTAAATAGTCTGAATGTTGTTAAAGGCAGACAAATTGTTAAAGTTGTGTTCATAAAATGTGTAATAATGGTTTTATGGATATTAAAAATTCTGTTAGTGTTGTAATATCGCTTCTCGATTTTTTTAAAGTCCTTTTCTATCGAATTCACTGTAACATTTACATTAGTTCAGAGGATTAAAAGTAGGTAAATTTAAAAAATGTAAAATCAGCTGTTTGGTCCTCTTATTTGTAACAGATAGCTGCAAATTCTTACATGACCGTTCCGACTACAAGTTTGGATGGCAGTTAGAACGGGAAATGCAGGAAGGGACTTACGGTGAGGCAGACAATGATCCACATCAGTACGAAGTTGATTCTGACGGTGATGATCTCCCCTTCAAATGCTTCATCTGCCGGAATTCGTTCAAGGACCCCGTTATAACAAAGTGAGTTGATATGCCGATTAAAGCCTCTCCTATCGAAATTCTGAATGTAGTTTGTAACTGCGCTGTAACTAGGCACTGATTATTCTTACAGGTGCCGGCACTATTTCTGTGAGAAGTGCGCGTTAGGACATTACAAGAAATCGACTCGGTGTTACATCTGCAATGAACAGACGCACGGGGTGTTCAATCCTGCCAAAGATGTTATCGCCAAGATGAAGGGGGCTGAAGCCAGTGCTGCTAAATCTGATGACAATGTCGATCAGACAGCCCTCCCCGATGACTCCGAATCAGATTAAATATATGTATTAAAACTGTGTGCTTCATTACAAGAGCCCACTAATATTAATTCTTATGAATGAGTTGAATCCATCCCATACCTTCACATCCTATATCTCTAAGAACCATTTTAATATTATCTTCATATCTACACATTGCTTTCTCAAGTAAAGTTTCTTGACTGATATTTTGTATGGATTTTTTATTTTCCTCATGTCCTGCCCATCTCAACCTCTGTAATTCAGTCGCCTGAACAAATCTAAATGAAGTTCATAAATTGTTGAATAACCTATGAATTGCGTGAAAACCTATTTGTCGTCCACATTTTGTCTGCTTTAAATTCTAAACTTAACACATCTAGATGTTAAAAAATTTGTGTTATTTGGATAACGTTGTAAAGTGACTGATTCACTACTATCAATCAGGGCTGTGGAGTTGGTATTAAAATCTCTGACTCTGGCTTCGGCTTCGATGCCGACTCCGAAGCCGACTCCTTCATAAAAGCTCAATATATATTAATAAGGGTAAACCTACCAAAATGGTAAACGACACCATAAGAGATTTCATCACCACCACGTGAATCATCATCCTACTTTAACCCATATTTAAATATGCGTCTAATGTTTATTGCAGAAATCTGTTGATTTGTAGACGGTTTGTACTCTTAAGGTACCGGAGCTAAAGTTACAAAGTGTTATCCCCACACCATGTGGATCAACACATCGTTAAATCTCCCTAAGCCTCACGCCGCCGCCGGCTCACACGGTATTGAAAATGTTCGTAAGATTTTATATCGAGGTCTGAGTCGTTAAAAATGTACCTAAATTTGCTTCCGACTCAGATTTCACAGCTCCGTGGTGAATTTCTGGAAAAGTCCTAGATAAATCCTAGATAAGTCCTAGGGTGTTGCCGGAGCAGCCTGGAGAGGTTATTTGGAACTTCTTTGGTCATGGAGAAATGCTGGAGAAGTCCTGGAAGGTTATTTAGAAGTCCTTAAGCGGTGGTGGGTTTGATCTTATGCGGGTCGGTTATTTTGGTTTCATTTAAGATTGATTGGGATAAGTTACATTGGATTAATTTGCGTTTTGGTTGGGTTAGGTTAGGTTTAGTTAAGTCAGGTTAGTTAAAGGTAGGTTATATAAAGTTGTTGTTTCACGATGGGGTATGGTTGTCCTGGATAATTTCTATCGTGGTCATCGGATGGTCGAGGTGATGCTGGAGAATCCTGGAGGATTCCAGGAAAATTCCTTGAGAAGTCCTATGGACGTTATGCGGAAAATTTTTGAAATGGAGAATTGCTGGATAAATCCTGGAGCAGTGTTCTACTTTATGGAGTACTAATGAATCACTAAAGTAAATAAGAATGTTTTTAATTTTTCGAAATGATAGCTGGGCTAGCAGGATGAACATAAACCCTCCTCTTGTAAAGATGGAAGTATCAGCAATCGGAATAAATAGAAAAAACACGGTAACCTTGCTATTAATAGCAGCGACATTATACGACAACGACCTGCCAGCCACTGGCGTCAGTCTCTCGGGAAGTTATCTAACTGCCAAGCACACTAATTCGAATTACTGCAAACTGATGCAAAAGCACGGATTGTTTCGTCAGAGTGCAAGATACCTAACCTATTATACAGAATGCCACATTTTCATTCTTTCGTGATTGTTTGACCTCTGTTTAAATGTACACGGAAAACGTTAAAATAACTTAACACGTAGCACGGGTTATTTTGTGTTGTTGTTCATCTCTGACTGCATGATTTGGAGGGGAGGGAAAATTATAATGGAAACGAAGATAAAAGAAAATCATTGAATTTATTTATATGAAGCAATATTTATTATAAGCATATAATCATGGGCCAATCCTGTAATCCTCCTGAACTTCTCTGTGGTATCCCAAAGACTTAGGAAAATATTAAAATAAATTCCTTTGCTCCACAAATAATTACACCCCCCCCCCCAGCTCTGGTCCATATTAAATAACACTTAAAAATTCCCTTTGATTTTTCTGTTTCGCTGTAAAATAATGCAAAAACTGGATCTCTGCCTGATATGCAAGAATACCTTCGTGGAGAAACAGAGGATAACTTTCTGGCCAGAAAGGGTAATGCACTTCTGGAGGGCTATTAAAAAGACTCGCTTCGTTTACTTCTACACCAAAAAAACTTCAGTTTTCAGTTTCTCGCTTCCTTTGTGTAAAAATTCGTCAGGCCTGAAATTACGTGAGAGTTCAGTATCACGTTTAACTTGGAAACAGGAGGCAATATTTTATAAATCAACAGGTTCAGGGATTTCATTTCTTAACCGAGCAATTATTAGTGCCTCAATAAGGACTCTGCTCCATGCAGTTAATAATTAAAAATAGTAGACTTTTTTCTATACCCCACGCTATTATTTCACTAACGATTATTTTCCCAGAAATCAGGCATCTTTGTGCAAATATCGTATAAAGTGGAAGTCTATAATACTAGGCCTACGACATGGATTGATTACATATTACAACTTCTGTTTAGGACCGAGGTGCAACCAAATACACGTAAATATAACCCTTTGAAGCCTAATGGCACATGTACCACTTCTTTAACGATCAATAATTCTGCGGTTACTCCAAAAAGTGTATTTATCTGTTGCATGTGATTTTCAATTACTAGCGGTTAGAACGCTGGCCTTGTAATCCTGGGGTCTCGGGTTCGATTCCCGGCGGTGCCCGAATTTATAACTTGTGTTGGGCAAGGCCGTGGTCTAGGCAACACGGAGTTTTCCTCCGTAGCATCCCAACAATTACTCCATTCACACACAGAAGAAGGCAATGGCAAACCACTTCTGGATCATCTGCCAAGAACGTATATGAACAGGTCCCAGTCCGAGAAAAGGATGGAAGGATCCTGTTCATATGGACCTGTCGTCAGACAGAACACTAAATAAAATAAAATAAAAGTCATTAAACAATACTTATCTTTTTAATGCTTAAGGGGCGTATTTTCTTTGCGGTCAGACTGAATTTTTAAATGTTACTGAACAGTTACGACTTTATACTTTAATTTAAACACGTAATTAAGGCCAATGAAAAAATATGTATGCTCCGATATGGATACACATAACTCAGTGGATAAATCTTTGTGTCATTGCGCCTGCAGTGCGGAATTCTGACTTCACGCCACACCACCAAGTAGGAGATGTTGCCTGCCATCACGGCGTAACGCAAGTGAACATTCTTCCTACATAAAAATGAGAAACTGTCTCCACAGTAACTGGTCCAATTGACACAAAACCAGCGTTCCTAGAGAGTCGTTACCTCATAAGAAGTTGAAAACTTGGTAACCAATCAAACTAAACTGTTTAATCGTGTCTTTCAAAGAAAAGTACTGAAGGGAATATCTTGACGTAAAAACGAATTTCTTAATGGGAAACTCAAAAGGATTTTTTGTCTAATGCTGGTACGGATATTAAATCAGTGGTGGTTAGATGGGCGAGACACGTAGCACAAATTAAGAAATTATAAATACATACAAACCTTTTTTCGGAGGACATTAAGGGGACAGACTATTGGGTTGAACCAAAGCACGTATATATGATGATAATATTAAAATGTGTCTCAGAGAAACAGGTTGTGCCTACGTTCATCTGTCTCAGAATATTGTCAATGTCGTCTTCTGTGAGAACATTAACCTTAGTTACTCAGTGCAGGGGCCGCCATTATAATTACTTAAAGGAACCTGAACTGCGTGGCACGCTCTGCAAGGGTTCTGCATTCCGCGGCACTCTGGGTGTGTGGGGGGCCTTGTAGCGATCAATGTTTGCGATGGACCGGGCTACACCAGTCCTCCCCACACGGCAGGATCACTCTCCACAGCGTCTGTGGCGTTAAAGCAAGCTCATCATTGACAATAACACGCATGTGATAGTGCTCAGAACAGTACGACAAAAATCACACAGTAACAGAGTTAACGTATTGGTTCCACGCACACGTCATGAGATAATATTATTTACTGTGGTGTCGGAAGTAACAGATGGATGGAATTTATAATGAATTAAATTCTATTGCGTCAGAAAGTGTTATATTAATGAAACAGTGTGAATAATTCTCGTCGGGTCCACTAGATGCTTCAGTAAACAATAGGAAGGAGACGAATTGTTGAACTGTGTGTGAAAGCAAGGCCTGTTAACCAGGTAGGCATTGAACAAATTTCCGGTCGTCCGTCTCTAAGGAGGTTTTTCGACAGAACGCGTTAATTTCCTACTGAAGAGGCCAGGTAAGTACACGAGAGAAACATTTCACAAACAGCTATTAAAACGAGAGGATATTAAGGTACGTCACAGTTAGTTTAGAGTAAAAGTAACAGTTGAATGAAGTAATTTTTTGTGTGGAACTAGTAGACAACCAGCCGTGGACGATTTTAAAATTTGTTCCAGTATGGTGAGGAGAAAACCTCATATGTACGGTGAATATAGGCCTATGACAAAATATAAACAGAAAGAATTTACGTATATTCCTGACGAATCACTTTAAGCTTTAAGCAAATTATTCTGTGGCCTGTTTAGTCTACTTCCGGGTGGATAACAGCACAGGAAGAGTCCCCCCCCCTCCCCCTGTGTGGGCGGAAAAGTGTAATAATATATTCGTCGTTTATTTTTTGTTTACAAACAATAAAACTACATGGCGCCACAACCCAGAAAATCACAAATTACATACCAGATTACAAAATAGGATGCAAGAACATCGTTAAACATGCAGTGGTTCGGAATGTTCTGGTAATCTTGTGATTCGTTTTCTTATTTCATTTGATGACGCTTCTTCAACTGCGCGTGCTTCTAGTAATGTGGGAATAAGATTGTGAATGACCAAAGTCGGAAAGGTATTCTTGAATTATTTAACAACGCTCTTTCAACTGGTACTACAATTGTGGCTAATGACTTCGAAATGACGTGGAAGTAAGCGATACTTGGCCAATGAATGAATAAGTGATTAATTCATGTTATTTAATGGCGCTCTTTTGCGTGGGTGTTTCACAGTCTAACGAAATTATTCTATCTGCGGAGGGACGGAAAATGTTGTATCTCGTTTATGGGGACGAAAGAACAATTTTGGATATCCATGCAGAAAACAACTTCACTCATGAAGATATCCGTCTTCTGGGTTATTGCGCTGTGTAGTCTGGTCGATGTTAACCAACGTTTCAGAGG